CCGCCTGTCCCAAATTGCCTGAATTAAAGTGGGCATTGCTTTAGACAACACAAGAATAACTTTATTTCATACAACATATCTCTTTTGCTTTCAAGGTCGATGTCTTCTTGATAATTTTTACGTGAGAGGTGATGGAACTAGAGTWTACTTTTTTGAACAAGGTACAGTACTCGACAAAACACATTCATTAAGGTTGACCGGCAATCTTCGCTAAAAAAGAGATATCTCTTGAGAAGAAAAAAATGACCTCTAGTCGGCGAAACACTGATAAATATGACAGACAACTTACAGACATTTTAGATGTTTTTGTCAGTTAATCTGTCTGTCTGTTTGTTGTTTTTCTTGGCTTTGCTTTCTTTCTTGCTTTTGTTTAAGTTCCTCGTTCAACTTTTCCACGTGCTTGCTGTTCACATCTAGTKTTTTTTCCCTTTTTCTCTTCCTATTCTTTCGCTATCATTGTTAAAACGGTCACGGGCTGGTGTGTATGCACTGACATTTGTATTCGTACATTGACGTTGAAAATAGCTTTGAACGTGAGGCTACAAGCCATCCCGAGCTTCTTTGCGGTCTTCATGCAATAATTTCTTATTCAAACGCTGCAACGTTTTTTAAAAGTATATAATTTATTCGACGACAGTAATAAATAGAGCTTTATCGCGTCAAATGTTCTTCTAAAGAGTCGTAATGTTACTTGTATTAACCTTGGAAAAGGTCTGTTTATTTTGGTCATGTTTTGGTGGTTGAAGAGGAAACAACTTCTTGTGAATGTGGTCAGCATCTTGAACCAGTCATAATRTTAATCATCCTTCCATGTAAYACAATTTAGTCTACTCACGTAAATTAACCTAAAACGACGTAGTGTTCACCTTCAACGATGCATATCTCAATCAAACGATTGTTCTAGAAATTTGGAGCTTCAATGAATTGTTATCGAGTAATCGTTTTTGTTAACTGTTGGTGAAGAAACTAGTCTAACCTGTACCTTAGGGTCTCTTTCTAATCATAGTTAATAGTCCCCTCTATTAACTATGTTCTAATGAAACATTCAGAAAGGTTTTAGACAAACACTAAAAGTTAATCAATTTTTTATAATTATTACTTCAGTTCGGAACCTATCAGGCAAATTTACTTACAATAGACTATACATATATTGAAGTCAATATTTTATAAATAATTTGATAATTTCACTCGATGATGGTAAAAAATGTTTTACTTTTGAATGAACAAAATAATCATCATAGGTTACTTTCAGTTGTAAGGCACAGTTAAGAGTGAACGTGCTGACTGCTACGTGACGTCTTTATCTACTTTAACTTTAACAGGTTGATTGAATACTGTTTGTCACATCCTCTGTTTCTGCGAAAAAAGGGACAAAGATTTGCGATCCTATTTTCTCACCTTCTAACAATTTTCATAAGTAACAAAAGAAACAGCTCACACTTCCTGTGTTTTTTCACTTTCAAGACAAAAAATGTAGAAATTTTCCACTTAAGAAAATTTCCTTGCGTTATCAATACGTCAATAATATTTATGACTTCTGTTTCAACACACTGTCAATCGAACTCGTTTAACCTTTTGGACTTTCTGCGGGAGTGAATTGTGTAAGCGAATCAGGAAGTTATTCACGGCCTGCTTCACCAAAACAATCGACGTTCGGCTCAAAGTGTACTACGCTTTGCTGAGTCATGTGTCAGTGCAAAGCTTAGTTATGKTTTAGATTACCTTGAATGTAAAAAAGGCTTTTAATTAGAATACGCTGAATGCCAAAAAAGAGCTTTCAAATCAACCTGTTGCTTCCGTTTCAGCTTCCACGGATGAACCATGGTCGTCTTTAAGTTAAATTCGTAATTGAAACAACTCTGGTTTGAAAGCGAAAGTCGTGTTGTTGGTCACATTGTGAAATTCTCATAAAACCGAAATYAATATAATAGCTAGTTCGCCTACATTGGCTTTGTGTTTTTTTATCAGCAAATTAATTTGATGTATTTCGATTTATGGTGATGAAATCACGAGTTTGTTTGCCGACTTGTTTAATTCTCTTTCTGTAAGATGATTAAACCGCATTGTATTATAGATCAGAACAGAGTTAGTCTCCTCTACTAACTCTGATCAGAAGCTTTAATGAGAACCATCATATCCATCCAATCAAAATAACATGAGGATGAAGTAATCTTCGCCAGTKCTCTGATGAGTGTGGTCAATGTTGTATGTGTAGGCACATGGTGAATGTGCTGTTGCTCTTATAAAGTGCTTTTACTTCAGAGTTTTCTCAAAGAAMGAAACAAAATTTAATGTGATGCCAAGGTTAACAAGCCAGTCAACCAAAACCATCRCATAAACCAAAAACAACTGCACAGATTCACYACATCCAAAGGCCTGCAWTGATTAACATTCAATTGATTTTTGATTTATTGCTTTGATTTCTAAAGCGAATTTCATTGTCCMACAGAGTCACCTGTTTCTTAAATCATTTACAAAGCTACCGATATTTTAATCCGTGCATTCGGTTAACAAAAGAGCGTTCACTATGTGRGTTCCAGTTGTTCGAGGTTTTTGACAATCAAAGGTATTAAAGAAAACCTTCGTATCTTTTGATRAGCCGTGCAAKACCGAGATCTGTTAGGTCTARTAACTATAKCCATCACGTTCCTATTGCACTAGTTYTAAGGGCTCGTTTATTACAAGTCATGGGAATATAAACAATTGATACAGTTCACAATTCGTTGGGTATTTGAAACATTTTTCTCCCTTAGGGTAAAAAGGTCTCATCCTAACAGTGCTGAAATGAGCTTCTACGTTGTTTACTCACCGCGCTGTCATTGTTTGAAAATACCAAGTGAATAATTTTTTGGGTGGGTTGTTGTGGGTGAGGATGGGTAGGGTTTTCCTATATGTGTCTATTTTGATAAACAAGGATCAATATCCCAGGCAGAGACTGTCTGTGATTGGTCAATTTGACAGAATATAGTCACTGTAAAGGTCTTACACCTGACTCGTGACGTCAATACAATTTCAATCACCTTGAGTCACGGTCTGTTGATAATCATCAAACGACTTTTGGAATGCACAGAGTGAACAGTCGATCTAAACAACAACCTACACAGTGAACCACAAAATGCCGAAATCTTTTCTAGTGAAGAAAAGGATAGAACGCTTTAAGAAGTCATCAAATGATGCTGTGAYTGCGCCTAACCATGGTAAGATAATGTTTTAATTAAGAAAGTTTTTCCTTAGGTGCACTTGTGACTGTAATCTTGATTTCCTTAGGTGACAAGTGCACCACGTTGAAGCTTCAAACTTTCACAATTTGAAAGATTTTCTGACAATTGTTTTCATGCGTAGAAAAGCTTCTAAACTGTATCTCAGAATAAAAATTTTCTGATTTTTTACATTTCATCTTGTATGGTGTCATGACCATGTGTTTGTATGATATGCAACAGGTTTTGTCAGAGAGTTTAATCAAGTGAGCGCCGACCGGTCTGTCAATAAACCTCAAGACACAATGCCAAACCAAGCCAAACTTTTAGAATCTCGTCTGACGCTCGTTTACCAACCGAAAAATCTCCAAGTACCACATCAGTTCCCCAATTTCCCAGAACATGGAAACGCCAGAACTCAAGCATCGCAGCCGAATCAAGGGGTCGAACAGTTTGGCTTCATGAAGCAAGCACTTGTCGGCAGTACCAATGGATATGAAGTGAAGCATGCCTCAGGGAATCTAATTCCAGATGGAAGAATTAAACAGTTATCAACCAAGAATCAGTGTCAACATTGCAGCAAATCATACACGTCTCTTACACATCTGCTCAGACATCAGCAGTTTCATTGCAATCCCCAAATGAAAAGGCCATTCCATTGTAAACACTGTGAAAAACTTTACTTCTCTCTTGGGGCGCTGAAGATGCATATTCGTACGCATACGTTGCCATGCAAGTGTAAAATATGCGGGAAAGCTTTCAGTCGGCCCTGGCTGTTACAAGGACATATTCGAACCCACACAGGCGAAAAGCCCTACAAATGTGAACAGTGTCAGAGAGCATTTGCTGATCGGTCAAATCTGAGGGCGCACCAGCAGACACACTCAGATGTGAAAAAGTACTGTTGTAAGCGGTGCTCTAAGTCGTTCTCGCGGATGTCTTTACTGCATAAGCATRAAGATTCATGCCCTGGTGTATTGCAACATTCTAAAATATTCTAGAAAGTAAAATGGCTTCGTCGCACAAATGCTCGCAACACTTGACTATTTTTATTGGTCCTTATTGTTTTTACATAGTTGCACGAACACTGTATAGCAAAATAGTTTTTGATATGAGTAAAACACTAACTAGAAGATATATTTTTCACAGAAGTTCCATTTAATAACAATTTGATATCACAACAATGTACAGAATTCGTTTTCCAAGATAGAGCTTTGTAAATATTATTATTTAAATTATTAGAATTCACTAGCGACGCTAGAGTGACACTTGTTCAGATATTTCATTTTTCAGCTATTTTGTAATACGCCAGAAATGCATAAGCTACTAGCCTTAACTATGACGGGTTATTTTGGCGTTGTAGCTTTAGTAGTTTTGATTATTATACCATCATGTACAATCTATACTTTGCACAATATTGTTTTCTTTATAACTCAGTTCTGGTTCGTTAATCAAACACTCAAATCAACAGGTGCTTTGACTCTTAGGCAGTTGAGATGTCGTAAACATGCTGCATGGTAGAATGTTGGTGAAAAAAATCACAGCTTTTGACCTTGTACATAGAAAATTCTATATTTAATAAACTGTGTTATCATAAAGTCTTGTAGATCCGCGGTGTATTTGAATGCTTCGTATTCCATTAATGTTGACGTGTCTGACTAACACTGAATAGATCTAGAACACTCCACTGCAGTACTAACTTGTGACGGCAGAAAGATAATAAGCCAAATAAGCCCTAATCGTTACCATAATCCAGTTCCTTAAGAATAAGAAACAGCGAGTCTGGTAGCTAACTAATATGGAAAAGCGTGTTAACAAAGCAAGGCTAACTACAAAAGGTTGGTCAACCCATAACAGGTTGAATCTCATCCAATCAAATTGCAGCAATAGCTGTCCTCTTGGTTTGAGACTCTACCCAAGCGTATTGTTTTGCTTTATTTGTTAAGTGAATACCGCTAAATTACAATTCAAGTCTAGTAGCTTAGAAGAGCTAATTGAACCAATATCTTATTTGACATTCGCCGCTATTTGTCTGACCGAAGAAATATTCCCGACAGACAAGTATTCTTCTTTGCCAAGGTGCTCACTTAAAAATGTCGACTATGACTTTAGTGCATGGCAAAATGCCATTGCTGTATAAATAGTATTTTCAATAACAATAGCTTGACTTGGGATGTTAGCTCAAAAAGCCAAATAATTTTAAAGTTTGCATTAGTTGTAGTCTATCTAAATAAGCCAAGCAAAGTAGTGTTATTCATTTAGGTTAAGTACACAAATCATTGCCCTTAGCTTCGTGTTAACATACCGGTCCAGACTTGCTAAACTTGCTTTTATTTTTTGTCTTTCATTGGGATTACGAGTTCAATAATAAAAACCTTGGCTTCAGAATAAATGTATGCGAACTCTTAGGCCGTGACGGGCTAGGCGCAGCTTGAAAAGGACAGTTCATGTTTGACACCTGTTGCGTTTCTACTGTTTTGCATTAAAACTATTCGTCGACTTGTTCATTCTGTCACGGGAGTTCTGTAACGTGCTGCATTACTGACCTTGGGATTGCATGGCATTTCAGCTTACACCCCACAAGTCGAGTCGACACCAGTGGAATTCAAGCACTGTTTGTTTTCATATTTACTATATTAGACTTGAAGAGTGCAAGAAATCATCCTTTGTCGCGAAAGCTCGGTCAACAGCGGTTAATTCTATATTTATTATCAAAATACTTATCGTTTTTTACGAAATATGCAGTAGGTACAATTTATATGGAAATGCAATCATTACAGATTCTGAAGGCATGTCATAATGCTCTTAGTTKTTTTAGATTTAACATAAAAAAGGTTTAAGTAACACCGTCACTAAAAGTCAAGAATTTCAATGCTTTTCATACCTACGTTCTAATTCTTATTGACTTTTTTGGTGATTAATTTTTTCCATGTTAGTTATCTCAAAGCAAACCTTCCATAGATCTATTAAATCATTGAGATGATCATTTCCTGCATAGCTTCACGATCTTCAAGTGCTCACCTCATGAGCAGTCAGGGATCTTCTCATAATTGCGTAAATCAGGTTCCTCTCTGGGAAAGACAAATAACGAAGCTTATATTGCTTTGTCAAAAAGATTTTCTGAATAAATATTCTTGCATTTTTTGGTATGACTAAGCTCAATAAAAATAAATAACTAAGTGGAATCGACAGGAAGTGAGGTTAAAATACAATACTTGATTTACAAACACTTTTCCACAGCCTCCGTTGGTCATGAATTAGTCAGTATTTTCGCTTTCGTCGACAGTGTTTCATTTGCTCATTGGATACACAATTATCTTCTAAAGATACGTACATAGACCTATATTTTCACTGTTATTTTGAAGAAACTCTTTTTAGTTCTGATTATAATGATTTATGCACTCTAATCTGTAAGAAAGTAGTTTATTTTTTCAATTCGTAGTGAGCTTTTTTTTCCCACTTGTACCTCCATTATAGTCAGGCCAGATTGTCAAGTCCAGCTTGCTTCAGCTTTCGGCTTGTACGAGGGTGGGTTAAGCTATCTACTCCATTGATTCTACATGGATTTTATCTGCTGGATAAGGATTTATCCTGTGGATAGCACTATCCACCCTTCGCACAACTTCCTGCCCCTGGAGACCAGTATGGCTCTTTTCAAAGGCTCAATCAAACATGTGATCATTACAATTCAAAGTAATATTATTTGACGTGCATCATTGCTTCTAATTTGATTGCTGAAGCTGCTACAATAGCCATTTTAAACTGGATAGCTCTCAAATCTACGGAAGGAAATCCTAATCACATCAGTTCGGCTGTGACATCACCATGGTCACGAGGTGTTGTACGAATTGCGTAACACCTATGTCTTTATTATCGTCAAATCAAGTCGATGTCAGTTTTCACGCAGTGCATATCATTAAGCCTGCACCTGACTACAAGTAAAGCCAAATAAAGACCGCTGTCATTTCATAAGGAGTTACTACTTCCAGTATAAAGTTTATAAACTAAATTGACTGCCTGTCAAAATCCGTCAGGTAGATGACCTAATATGGCATGTCATGACTCAGATACAAACAACGTCAGCACAAAAGACTGCATTTACTTCCTGTTCCTTTCTATGTAAAAAACCTTCATTAAGTTCCTGTAGCCATATGTAACTGTGTTATATTGGTGACTGTAAAGATTTCACAAGAGACAAAGTGATACAAGAGATACTCTAATATAAAGGTTCACTCCTAAAATTTACAAAGTGTTTTTACTCTTAGGTCATGGATGGACAACCGTTCATAAAGTGACTGCTAGACTGTGATAACGTCGCCCGCAGTGAAARAAATTACTTATTTGATAACTTGATTACATACGTGTTATATACATCAAACCCAGCGAATATTTAAGATTCTTTTCTGGCAGAATTGTTGAAAAACTTTCAAGATGTAGCCATAACAGAATGAAATGCTGACATTTCGATAAAAATGCTCAATCCTTTTATGGATTAACTCTGTTATACAAGAAATCGTTTTCGYGAGTCAACTTAAAACTAGACAAGAAAAAATGTCCTTATGATCTGACAAACCTACTTCAAAGGTTTCGATTCCTGGGCGCGATTGTAGCAACAAAGACAAAAAACTGGATCTGCTTTGCGGCAGAAAGCTTTGCAAGTTCTGTCAGGCAGGGCTTCAAAGTGTCCAAGTAAAACTAGATTGTGTACAGTAGGATGAAGTGAACGAAAGCCATTCGTTTACTTATCTTTGACTAGGGTCATGATGTTCTAACACTGGTTATTCATTGCTGTGTGTTTCAGATGAGCTCGCAACGATGTTTGAATCGGCAGGTCTGATCAAAGAACAGAACCACGTGGACCGCCGCTTACAAGTGAATCGCGGGCGTCAGCTTCGTATGTATCGTATATGGATTCAGTGCAAGTACCGAAAACCAAGGTAACCAAGGTAACCGGACAGTGTATGGTCAATCAGAGACCCTGGAATGCCATGAGACTTTACGAGCAGTTTACTGGGGCAAAGCCATTACAAGGAGTGACCACCCTGGACGAYGTWCTAACAAAATACAGCGGCTGTTCATTATATTGTTTTATTAATCCCTTAACTTCGAATTTTACATCTTGAATTGAWAGAGATGCAATATTTATTATGGGYTTTAAGGTAGAGGAGTGTTAAAAGAGTGCATCACCTCACCTTATGTCACCTAACTGTGTTGCAYTGAAATTGTGATATGTTCTTAATTTAGTGTTGTCTATATTGAGCCAATACCAGGCGAGGTACCGTGAACGTGTCCGTGCCGTTTCGCAGTCATCTCAAATCTAGTGTAAAACCGGCTTATTTAGGCCTTGTTACCGTGAAAACATAGACTCCTTTATGGAATCCGTACCCTCCATTGTCGTGGTGTCTTTAAATCGTATTTCGCAGCTCAACCTACCCAGCCTAACCATATTGTTTATTAAGTTAACGATCCTGTCAAATGAGGGATCGAGATATTCATTCCAAAATGCCATTTGCCTGGGACGCAATTTGTCCTTGACCTTGATGTGGGGCTTGATTGACATATATTTCTGTGTGTCTAGTTTGTACTCAGGCCAGACTTTGTCCAGTGGGAGAGGGGTGTTGGGATTTCTGTAGATGTGCAATATAAAGATTAGCAAGTATATTTCTAACGTTAACTGCTATTTTAAGAATGTTGAAAGAATGTAAGGCGAATTTGCGTCAGCAAGTCACTGTGGGTATTCAACATGAAATATACCAAACAAACCAATGAAGACTCTTTCATTCATTGGAAACAATACAATTTTTGAATATAACTACGAATTGAAAATCAACCCTAAGTAACTTATGGCCTTGCATACTCCACTCCCGGCGCCAGCCCAGTTAAGCTATCACCCTAGTGTGGGGCATGATTGTTAGTCACTCATCGCAGAATAAGCGAGGAAACACTGAATATATCGCATGAGAGATACCCGGACAGATTCTAACTTTAGTATTATGCCTAATATATCTTTACTTTCTAGGATCTCTCGATCTCACCGCCGACAGGTTTTCGATTCCACCCTCGATATATAACCTAATATATTCAAATTTCTTTTACCCGGTTTTAGCAAAGTTTGACCACATGGTTATGACTTTGAGGGATAGGCGGCTGTCTCTTGTTAGCAAACCTCGCTCCTCGTCTTTCAAAGGAAATCCAAATGCCATGAATTTCTCTGTTTCATGATAACCGTTCGACAAATAAGGTGGACGGATAAAGGAATCCGGGATGTCCAAGCCATATTCAACTTGGTAGAAGAAAATCGTTTCGTTTTTCTCAGCATAATGATTGGCTTCCGCAATTGCCGGGGCAGCAAATATACCGTCCGTCAACGCGTTAAGTAAATTTTTTCTTATYCGCTGTTCATCAGTCATATTTCCCTTCGATGTGTACATGTATTCTTGAAATATTGCAGGGCCGAAGAAATCCTTGAAAGAACGCTCCCAAGCGTATCTGTAGAACACCTTAAACATCTCATTAACTGATTGTCGAAAGAACTCTCGTGTCATGTTGGTATTGACTACGTCAATCGTGCCGTTCGCTCGTTCTGAGGTAAATAACAAAGTGTAAGATTAGAAATAGACTGTAACTAGAACATGTAAGTGTCAAATGAGAGATTTACCCGGTATAGCATTGGTTATACACGAGCCATCATTTAGTGCCACGCCCATTAGAGTGCTTTCTTGCGTGAAGTTTCCACTCTTAAGTAATGTCCAGGGGACATCTGAACAAAAATTGAAAAAACTCATATCAGGAAAAAAAAAATATCTGAAAAAAAACCCCGAATAATGAATATAATTTTGATTTTTAACATGTGCTTTATTCAGCGCCAACAAGTACATTGCTTGAAATCACAGGATCACCCAGAGCCTTTGAATCAATTTCGGTTGGGAAGGTGAAAAGGTTTTGTGCATCGAGAATGGAGTCTGGACATAATATTAGGGTCTAAAAGTTCCTTGTTTGCTCTTTTTACAAATTAAAATTGAATTTTCTCTTTAGGGAAAACCAGGGGTGTTGAAATAAGACCTTGTTATAAGTGAACATGATTTTGTTTTTGTTACCTGTAATGATTTCTCCATCTACCACTGGGTAGAATGGAACTGGCAGTAAAAAGTTGGTTAAATTAACGGCGTTGATGAATTTCAGACAGGACTTTGTACTGTTGTAGCCGGTGCAATTGAATCGCGTCATCTGCCTACCCCTTTATAAGGCAATAATAATTGTATTGCTTACGGTGGTGTATTTAGATATTCAAACATAAATGAAAATTAATAAGGGATGCTGATGGGGCATACTTACAATAAGCCATCTTGATAACTTGAAGAAAATGCAAGTTGACTAAGAGACGATCCGGATTGCATAATGGCGTATTTGAACAAGCCCTCGGCCAATGGAGAAAGACTAAGGAGCGATACGCTCATACCCCCAGCGGAGTTACCAAATATGGTTACACGACTTGGGTCACCTCCGAATCTGCAATACAAAAAAACGTGTTTCTGAAATGACTATAACAACATTTAACCAATTTCAAAGAACTTACAATTGGATGTTTCTATTGACCCACTTTAGAGCTTCCAACTGGTCAAAAAGACCATAATTTCCATTGAAACCACTCTCTCTGTCATGAATGAATCCAAACACTGTCAGACGATAATTGATTGAAACAACGATCACGTTCCCTAAGCCTGCAAGATAACTGCCGTCTACCTCTCGGTTACTGCCTGCAGAGTATCCGCCACCATGGATCCATACCATCACAGGTTTCAAGGCTTCAGTTCCACCACTGCGAACGTAGACGTTGAGGTTCAAGCAATCCTCGTCAAAATCATCAAAATCTGCTTCAGAAGGATTTTCTTTATATTCGTAGCAAATAGGGCCAAATGAACCACAGTCCTTTACTCCATCCCATGGTTCTGGGCTAGYAGGTTTCTCAAAACGTTCTGCTTGAGCATACGGAATGCCAAGGTATTTTCTAACCACTTCGCCGGTGGTCAGAATCTCTTCAACCCCACGTATGGTTCCGCTTTCTGGAATTGTGATTTCGAGCTCTTGCCCGTCGGTGGCGACAAATAAGCTGCTCAGAATACATGTTAACAATATCAGCAACATGTGGACAGCAATTACGGGATTATCTAGAGAGAATAATGCACCTTGTCAATATATGTGTATTGAGCACTCTTTAATGGGATCAGATACTTCCTCACACGATTATATATATAKAGAGAGAGAAAAAGAATACTAATCAAGATGATTAATAAAGTCCATAACACCAGCTGTTTTATATAATATTCTATATTAATTTTTGATATGATTGGACAGTGTAAGGTTACGCTCATTAATTTTAAAGCAGACATCACCGGTAGTGCTTAACTTGATGTCAGTTCGATGTGGGAAGACAAGCTTGCTTTCAAAGTGATTCGCGCATGATCAGATTGTCTCTTTTAACTCAGACTTGTGTTTTTCTACAAGAATCTTAATTTAATTCCGATAAAACTCTCTTTCTCATTCTTTAAACTATACATAGCAACCTATTAATTCTCTTGGAGTTACTGAGATGAATTCTTGGTATCCATCGATTTGATATAAATAGTTTTCATGCGGAGAGGGCAGAGGGCAGCTAGCACAGTGAGTTATGTTACAAATGTTTTAAGGTAAAACAAACGTGCTATTATAACCTACTAAAAGAGTYATAGAATATGAATAATAGCAAAACTTTCACCGTCAAAGAAAAGAGAAGCTGTCTGTGTCGTGTAATGGTAGTAGTGGTCTTGGTTGATATGTGCGTCTGTAACGCTATTCAGAACACTGCTATACCACCAGTAAACCTATCATATAATTCTCGTTACTTGTTCATGTGGTAAAGGGCGAGGGGGGAATCCCACAGTTCGAGAAGAGTGACTGTCTCAATATACCAAGTGTGCGCGGTAATTCACAACTACACTCTGATGGCAAAATCATTATGAGTGAAATTTTAACGAAACCAAATAATTGATATAACTACCGAACCACGCAAGCTCGAGAGTTTGTATTGTTTGGAAGAGTAGGGGTACTCATGTTGGCAACGGTTTTCAGAACACACCAACACCACCCGTAAAAAACACTCGTGGTATTTACCTTGAAAATCGATGATATCAGGGGCGGATCCAGGGGGGTGGATTGGGTGGCTAGCCACCCCCTCTTTTATTTGAAAAAAATATAAAGACTTTTAAATCTTAAAAGGTTTTGAAATAAAGAAATTACATAACAGGATTATTGTATAACGGAAAATATGTATAATTCGAAAAACAATGTAGAGTGAGAAGAACTGATGTAACTGATGTTTTTGTATATTATAAATATCTTTCGTATAAAAGTTTGTTGAAAAGTCCGAAATATTATGACCCTAAAGAGTCAAATTGATTGTAACGTACTTTAATATTAAAGTTTTAAAATGTTAGCCACCCCCTCTGAAAAATCCTGGATCCGCCCCTTGTCGATGAAGGCTTGAGCGGATTCAAAAATKGAGTCAGAATAGCGWAMAAAYATGACGATTTRGCACGGTTGGATTTGAAGTCCGTTGAAATATTGCCCAATTCTGGATAGAAGGATCCTAGAGACATGCCGCTGAGGGGATTTTGGAGGCAAAAGATGGTTTTAAGATATTTTATGGGCCTTCAAAGACGAGTGGTGTGGACGCTTTGTAACCAGCCTTGTAGTTTTTTATGACTGATGGAGATGTTTTTTTAAAAAATAGCTCTAAATCCCTTCAAAATCACACACAACAATATTTTAATATTTTAATATTTTAAAAATAACATCAACACATGAGATTACGGTAAAATGTATTTTATTAAAAAAACAATTTTGAATCAAATGCTCTGCTTGGGTTGCCTGTGGAGTGTTCTGTTTAAAGAGGGGTACGGGTTTGAAATCGGATGATGACTGAGGAGGGTTTGCTTATATAAGATGTCATCTCAGTCGCGCACCACGAGGTGTTCAACAACAGAAAGTTAATCAGTCTTCAAAAGAATTAGAACATATATTTACTGCTCAAAGCCCCATTCTCAACGTGGAATAGCAAGTGTGGAATTCAATAGCCCACTATTGAAATTTTAGTTTAAAGGTCCAGTCAGGACCGCGCACAAAAGAATGGTATGACGAGTGATCGACC